CGACGTTCGTGTACTCAGACCAGTAAAATTTGGGGTCACAAGTGTTTGCCATGGATAGCTTGTGGGTCAGAAGATAAAAAGTTTGAAAACCACTGGTCTACAGTGTAAAACTTACACTGATCTTGTATGTTATGCTACTAAAAGCAGAATGCACTTTATATGTGTTGAAAAACAAAACAATAAATGTTAACACAGTACTGTAATTAAAAAACACAATTCTAATGTTAAAAATACACTTAATGTGTCATAAATAAATACTATTAATAAACACTATTAAAGAGTGAATATTAACACTTTAGCTCTGAATCTGTGAGAATTATATAAACTCAGAAAATGTGTTAAATTTAACACTTTGTGTGTGAAATTAACACTTTGGATTTTGCTTTGAACGCTTCATGTTKGACATGTAACAATTGCTGTCATTGACCGTGTTGTTTTTGTTTCCACAGAAGTRAGCCTGGCCCTATATGTTGAGGTTTTCCACATTCTTTTCTGTCTTTCTAACGCCACCCGGTCAAGATAGTTAGCTGAGTTCTTTTCGACACTAAGCTTGATCAAGGTGGGAGGATTACACCAAGGTGAAGTGCAATCGTCTGGTTTCCTTAGACAAACAACCTTTTTATTAACTGGGGGCATTTTATAATGTACCTTATGTGATTGTATTGTATTATTCTTGGATTGAACCRACTGTAATTGGATTTGAATCTGAGTTTGCTTTGAACTGATTTATGACTTGGATCTGCTTAGGTGTGATTTTTGYAAAGTGTCTTGATATGACATTTGTGAAATTATACTATCATAACTGCACTATATAAGTTGAATTGACTTGAATTGTTTCGCACATGAATTTTTAATTATATTATATTCAATATTTCATATTTTAAAATACTTCATCAACAAAATGTGATAAATACCTGAGAGTGAACAATATGAATGTGCTAATAGTGTGTAGATGAAACTGTACTGTACCATTTACGCTGATGACATCACAGACTATGTTAACTTCATTCATGGGAATCTGCCAATGAGCTTTCTCCTCAGTAAAACTCATTGCTCTGCTTTCTTGTCTGTTGCAGGGRTAACTCTGGACGCGCAGAAAGACAGGACCCTGGAAACACAATTTACAAGATTACAATGGTATTAAACATCATGATGGACATTTAAGAGTGTGCTTCACATCCCATAGGTTTAAGTAATTTAAAACAAAGTTGATTAGGTCCCTTGGATGAACTCCTTCTTGTTGAAAAACATTTTGTCTCTTCACCACGAGACTTCTTTGGTCTGATGAGTTAAGCTCATCCTTATAATCAGTGCTTYCAGATGGTGGACAAACAGTTTAATGATGGCAATCAAAACGGTTTGTTAGAATTCAAAAGTGGACCATCTGCCCAACGACTGATCATCACCTATTGATTATCACCTACTGTTCACAGATGACCATCAGCCTAACAATCGTTAGAGCTTTTATTATCCCTATTGTTCACAGGGCTGAGTCATACTCACAATGACAGCATTGTAAAAGGGGACAACTGGACCCATGTTTAATGAAGGGCGGCTTCTCTTCACCAAAATTACTTCCTTTGCTCGTCTCTCAAACCAAAGTTCCTCCTTTTTCACAATGAGAAAATTTTCATCCCTGACAGAGTGACCACTGGCCTGTAGATGAGTGTAAACTGCAGAGCCCTGGCCTGATGATGCTGATCTTCTGTGTTGGGTCATCCTTTTGAACAGTGACTGGTCACAGTACTCCTGGAACTTAATACAATACACAACATTAATCTGTTTGTGCTGGGGGATAGGATATTTGGGGTGAAAAAAACTCCTGAAACTCCTGCAACATATGGAATGACCACTAATCTGGGTTTGGGGTCTTCATTTTCACCCGATGGCTGGATGGAGTCCTGTTTGTGTTTCTTGTCTGCTTTGAGTAAAGCTCATTCAGGATAAGCACACTGCTCCAGGGCTTCTCTTGTGTGGGACTTTGTGAGTCTTTCTCCCTGGCTCCTGTGTTTGTGGAGATGCTGCCTGTTCTGATRGWCCTGATGACTCCTAACTTCTGCTGCTCTGTGTGAGTTTGCTACACATCAGTTTCCAACTGTCTCTTGGTGAAAAGACAAAACATTTTTCCAACAAAGAAGAACTTGGCCACAGGACCTACTCAACTTTTTTAAAGATTTTTCTACCTGGATTATTGAGCTGGATTAGGACAATTAAGTGAGTATTTTTGGTCAGTAAATTGACCTAGAGCTTCAATTTTAATGAGTGCAAAATAAATATAGCAAAGAGAGAGGAAAATGCAGCAACCTCATTTTCTTCTGTACCACCACATCTAATTGACATTAGCCAACTCAAAAAATACTATAACAGAATTGAGCTACAACTTTGTGTGGCAGMAGCTGAGATTTTTTTAAGTCTCAGACAAAAACTCTGGCAGGAAAAGCACTGACATTGATGTTTCAGAAAGTATTTTAAATGTATTTTTTAAAAACGCTTTAAAACAGATGAAATGAGGATTATCTGTGTTCATACGCTGCACTGAAGGACTGATTTCTAATGAGGGCTACATAAATATACCAGTTTTTACAGTCAAACCAATGCTACATTTTTTGAAAAGCAGTTTGAAATAAACAGATTTTCAACTACATCTGACAGAAAATAGAATCACACTTTCATTGAGCCTTTGTTCAACAGTCAGCACTTGTTAGCTTTTACTCAATTTTGGCTTCACGTGTTTTTGTGCATATACCTTAATATCTACAGGATGTGTCTCAGTAGGGCAGAGCAGCTTGCGACGAGCGTTGCCACTTTGGTTTAAGGTCCAGTATCCAGTCATCCTGACTTCAGGTAAAGGCAATCTACAAACAATAAACTGGTGAGACCTTAAAATAACGCAGTTTACTGAGAAATAAATGTAGTCTTTTCACATTTGCACAAATTGCTATTGTTTAATTTTGTTTAGATCTAAAAAAAATTAGTAGATAATATTTGTGGTCGATAAATGCTAAACAATTTTAAAAGAAACATGTTGATTGAATCCCACAGTCAATTTAATTGGACTAATGTTTGTGAGGCTTGATTCCCTGTTCAGCATGTCGTATCTGACCAAAGGTTTACTGGTTTTCCTATGAATCATAGCTGTAACTGGGCCACAGACTTATTGGCTGCAGGTGGGCTGAAAGATGCAGCGTGACCTCAAAACACACACATTCCAAAGGAATTGGAGGAGGAATCAAAAGGAGGAAGGCCCTCTAAATGTTTATGCGTAGAACAGCACCTAGACAGAGAAAWCAAGCCATTGCAAGTTTTCCATGTCCAAAATTGGAAATCAAGAAAATKTTTGCTTTTATGTACACAAGATGTGGGTAATGCTACAAGTCAGAACATAAACTGTTTAAGATGGGCTTTAAATAACTGAAGCCCAGACCACAGAAAACACTGCAGACCCAGCTGGATAATATTAGGAAGAAAATTATAGAGAAGGTATTCTATGTCAGTGCTCCAATAATACAAGGAAAATACTTGTTTCTGCCCTTTTCTGTTATCAAGACTTACTTTTAACATTTAAAGAGAAAAAACAACAACAAAAGACAAGAAGAAAGAAACAAATATTTTCCTTTATTTAAAAGATAAAATTGTACATAATGTAAAACAGTGATGTGGATATTCAAATGGTTTACACTACTTTGAATATATTCTGTGTGCAAATCACCAGCTTTATCACAATATTATATAATAACAAGTTGTTTGGAGGAGCAGCAGTTGCTAAGCAGGAGACGACAAATCAGGTATGATTTCAGTTTATTTAGCTCAGCAACGGTGGCCCGTGAAGCCCGAAAAAGGCACGTGTTTTTTACATGGTTTGATTTGAGTGCGGTCTGTATTCACACCAGAAGTTAACACCACCAGAGTTTGTTTGGAACCAAACAACTTGACCGAGACCGCCTTTTTGAGGTGGTCTCTCTGTCCGGTTGTTTGGTCCACAACAAAGTTCGCATGAGTGTATTCACACCTGCACAAATGGTCCAGACCAATGGGGGAAACAAACTCTGGTCTGTTTAAAGCGGACCAAATGTGTCAGGTGTGAATACGACCTTGGGCTGATATCATCTAGAGATAGGCAATCCTGGTCCTTGAGTGCTGCTGTGCATGTTTTACTTGTTTCCCTGCTTCACTGCAGCTGATTCAGAGACTGAATTACCTCTTCCATGTTCTGTAGAAGCMTGTTAACATAGGGTTGGGTACCRAAACTRGGTTCCAGTATGGCACCAGGGCGTACATCAACAGTAGTACACAGACCRAAACACAACTCTAACTTTGGTGTCTCAAAGAAAGYTGTTAATTTGCGYCCTCTGGTGTTCACTGTTAAAAGTGACAGTCTCRGCACACAATSTCCACAGAYRCTCRTGTATGCGGTTCGACTCAGCTCGATCTCGGCCCAATGCGTCTCTCCAAGCGTGCTCCACAGCCGCGCTGTCTCTGAACCTCCTCTCCGGTGGTTCGGGTAGAAGAGAGTAGAGCAYGCTTATGATTTTAATRTCAGCGTGGATTAACTCTTGGATTGACTGATAGCAAATTTCCTCSTGGAGAGAGCTGCTTTTGTTTAGGAATACGAGCGTGCAGCGCGATACGACGACACGGTGAAATAAAACTGTCTTTTTGGGAAAAGCAGAACTTGTAAACACTTCCTGGAGAGAGGTAAAGGAGATGAAGCTGAGCAGATCACAGGAGGTTTCCAACAAACTGGCCACCCACGGTTACACAAGCACTTAGCTAAACAGCACCATGAAAATAAATAAATAAGTAAATAAATGAACAAATAAAAGTGAAGTCCGAATGGTAAAACCAAAACGGCTTTTTTATTTTGTTTTATTTTTAACACAACAGTTGAAGCTGCTGCAGACAGTCCGCACATTATCACACCCACTGAGTGGAGACACACGGACACGGAGCAGAACCGACTCGACCCAAAGTGAATCGAGTAGAACCGAGTTCATGGAGAGGGGCTGAACAGGTGCTGTTGCAGTTAACAGTTATATATATTATAGTTGAGWTGTCGAAAGCAAAATGGTCCAAAGTGTGGTGTCACTTTACAAAATAAGATGCAGAAACTTCCACCTACAACAAATGATTTAAGAATATTTGGTGCAAAGACAAATTAGGCCTACTAATGGTTTTAAGATTATATGTTGGTCAAAGTTCGACTTTGCCTCAGAAATAGTCATTGCTTCATAAAACTCTGTGTGAGTGTGTGTGTTTTATTTATTTATTTTTAAAGTACCTATTTAAATACCATTTAGGAACTGGTACCGTTTTGAAAGTATCAATTTAGCAACGGTATCGAATTAAACCCTTTCAATACCCAACCCTTGTTAAACAACATTCATTTTAATCAGGTGTGTTGGAGCAGAGGAAGAAGTAAAACATGCAGGATAGTGGCAGTTGAGAATCATGATTGCCTACCCCTGAGGTAAAACAATACCAGACACTTTCAAACAGCACACACAATAACTTCCTTCACAACATTCACAGTTTCAGTCTGAGCAGGAGTAGATGCAGGAGTAATTCTCAGCTGCTGAAATGTTCTTTAAAACACATATTAGCACATGAACCTACAAGTAAATGTAGCTGAAATCATGAACAAACTGTCTTTAATTTGAGTGGATGGTGCTTTAGCCAGAAACAAGTCAAGGTTTAAATTAAAGTAGAGCAGCAGTCTTGAATTGACAGTGACTTCACATGCTCTTAATGGCTAACTTTTATAGTCAAAACTTAATTCTTTTGCATTTAGACAATAAAAATAGAAAAAAACAATTATCTGAATTAACTTTAATAGGAATGTGGCTGTATTTGTTYATAGTAAATGTGAGTATGAAAGAAAGTAGCAAACAGATGTTAAGAGCTGGCTGAAATCAGTCTGCCATTGTTAAAACTTTTAGACATTTAGCAATTTAATGTGTGCTTTAGTTAAATTTAAGTGACAGTTCTTAATATTAACTTTTTAATAATCTTTTCCTGTTAAATAAATAAATCAAATCAAATCAAATCAACTGTTATTTGTGAGGAAATTCAGAGCCAACTGAAAATTCCAAGCTTGGTCAAGTTTTAAAGGGGGTATTTATGTATTTTCCAGGCACATAGTTCAAATCTATACCATAATCAAGTAACTATGTTACAGCGTTCCTACAGTTTAAGGAAAGTTAAATTTAAGACTTTTTAATGCCAAGTGAAATCAATTTTAAGACCAATTTCACAATTAACACAAATAAAAAAAATTAAACTGCAGCAGAAACTCATGAGTCAAAGTATTTTTGGCTGAATAATTTTTATTATTTATTATTAATTGCTAATAGACCAATTGTTTTTGTCCATATCTAACTGCTATTTTGTCAAATATAGCAAAAAAAAAAAAAAAAACCTTCTTAGCAGTCAGTTTTAAACTTAATTTAAATCCTGAAAATCCTCTAACGACCCAAAATTTGGAGTTTTAGGACCCACAGTGGGTTCTCAACCCTTGCTTGCCTTAAAGTGCCTGTGATGTAAAATGTTTGTACGAAATATGAATGCATTTTTGAAAAGACAACATTATTAACATATTCGAAAACAAATTTCACATTGTTCAGATGGACAGTTGTTGAGAAATTTGCATGTGAAATAACAGGAAGTGGTGTCAAAAGCGAATGTTAAAATGTGAATCTTTCAAAAATTAATAAATGTTACCAATTATTTTAATACTTGAGATGAATTACAGTCATCCTATTTACAATGTGTTAATAATTTTAAGACTTCTGAAGATTGATTCAAGACATTAAGGCTAATTAGGTCCTTATTTTTGAATTTAAGGCCTTTTAAGGCTTTTAAAGGATCCACAGGAACCCTGTGTTACCTTCAGTTGTTATTCTTGTTTTAACAACGATGCTTCAGAGAGGGGGTGCTCTGTTGGGCGGGAGCGTGGCTAAGGACTGAGCTCCAGGGAAGTGCTTTGTACAAGTAGGTGGTGCTTTGTACCAGCAAGCATTTTGGCAGCTCCACATGGCTACGAAGGATTTCTCAAACAGACATGAATAAATCAAAGCAACACACTGGGTATGTTTTTGATGAGGGATGATGTTATATTATAACATGATATAAAGCTAGAAAAAGTTGATTTTGAACAATACTTCCCCTTTAACAATTTCATTAAAGTAGATCCTTATACTATGACATTTAAAGGGGCAATATCATTTAAAAGCAACTTTTTTTTAGCTTTATATCATGTTGTAATGTTATCCTCTCATCATAAACCTGCAGAGTCTTACTTTGACTCATTCATGCATGTTTGAGAAATCCTGTGGTGTCCTGAGGCAGCAGGCAGGGGAGCAAAAACAACTGGTTGGGACTAGAACCTCCTTTAAGGACCAGCTCCTCCTCTGGGCTGTGTCTCCACGCAGAGCTTCATCATCACAGAGCACACACACCCTTCCCTGTGTTGAAATAGGCGGGGCAGAAGCGGAAGGAGGTTTTTAAAGAGATCAAGGCCAATTTCAAGGTGTTTAGAAAGAGATATGTCAAGATTATTTTCTGATAAGGGTCAATATTTGTTTTTTTTATTTAATAATATAAACAGCATTTTAAGAACAACTAAAGGTGACATAGATACTTTATTATGGTATTGTTGGAAAAATATATGT